TTGTTCATCCAAGGACTCTTTTTGTTTTGTCCTTATAATTTTTTAACTGTGTCTTCTTTAGATGTGTTTAGCATCTCTTTCATTACTTTTATCATTTCTTCTTTTACCTGGGAGATTACTTCTAGTTTGAATTCCTTTAAAGCTTCCCAGAGTTGCTTCTTTATTTCACTTGCTATTATTTCAGGGAGTTCAGGTGTATGGCATATATTTTCTTCTATGTACATGGCTCCTAGCCTTTCTTGGAATGGACTGGAGGTTTGAGATTGCATTTTGGTCTTTTTTCATTTTCCTATATTTCTGTGTTTCAAATGTTGTTCCAAGAATTCCCCTGGGCGTGCTGGAAATTGTCTTTGCCCTCGGCTCCTGGGACTGAATGGAGGTTGCTGAGCATGGTCCAGTCAGTCCCACAGGACCTCCTGTGCCACCTCCAGTGTTCCAGGAAGATGGGCGAGCACCTAACCATTGTGGATGATGGTCCAGAGTTCTCCCCAGGCAAGGACCAATGCACTGGAACTCACTTCATGTGCTCTCAACTCCCCTGATTGAAGAAGGTCACTGGGTGTAATCTAGTTCGGCTGCAAAACCTCCCAAGCCTAGTCTAGTGTGACTGGAAGCTGGGCAGGTTCTTGACCACTGGGAGTGATGATCTTAAACTCTCCCAGGACTCGGGATGGCGTGCATGAACTCATCTCCTCCGGCAGCACAGTTCCCTCCAGCAACCCAGTTCCCCAGATTGAAAGAAGGTCACTGGGTGTGGTCCAGGCAGGCCTGAAACCTGCAGAGGCCAGTCTAGTGTGGCTGGAAGCTGGGTGCGGTCCTTGACCATTGGGAATGATGTTCTTAAACTCTCCCTGGGCTCAGGATGGTGTGCAGGAACTCACCTCCTCAGGCAGCACAGTTCCCTCCTCCGGCAGCCCAGTTCCCCAGATTGAAGGAAGGTCTCCCAATGATTTTAATAAAATTATTTTAACATTTTATTATTTCACCTCATTATACAAACTGGTAAAATACATAGGAGTTAACACCCATTACATTTTTATTTATTTTTATTTTTAAGAGAATAAAACAGAAGAAAAGGAAACAGAACAAAGCAAATCAGAACAGAACTTTGTAAACAATACAGGACTTCAAAACAAGACAACAGGATATCAACAGTGGCTACTATAATGTCTCTTGTTTTCTTCAAAATAGTTGACTATAACTTCACACATAATAATATCAAATATAACAAAGTAATATAAAACCAATCAAGAGAATGGAAAGCATTACAGGACTTCAAAACCAAATGACAGGAAATGAAAAATGGTTATTATAATGTTCTCATTTTGTTCAAAAAAGTCATCCATACTATCACACATAGTAAAATCAAATAAAACACAACAGAATTGAACCAATCAAAACAAAAGAATAAAAGCACGATAGGACTTCAGAGCAAGATGATAGTAAATCATAAATGGTTACCAGTAAATCATAAATGAGACATAATGTCTCATTTTCTTTAAAATAGCTATTCATACCATCACATATAATAAAATCAAACAAAACAAAACAAATAAAACCAATTAAACAAATGAAAGCATTATAAGACTCCGAAACAAGGCATTTGGAAACCAACCAGGATTACCATAGTACATCCTGTTATGTTCAAAATTTCTGCCCATATCATCAGACAAAGTAAAATCTAAGAAAACAAGACTGAACAGAGCCAAACCTAATAAAATTGTGAAAACAATACAAGCATTCAAACAAGACAATACGAAAGTAACAGTAGTTACCACCTTTCCCTCCCAGGTATTTCCTTCCCTATCACTTTTTCAATAACTATTTTGCTTTATTTATTTATTTATTGGGGGAATCAAACTCACAACATCGTGCTTGTTGGGCAAATGCTTATGCCACTGAGCTAAATCTCCGGCCCTTATTTTGCTTCTTGGATCCCATTAACTCTGTTTTTTATGCTAGGGTTCACTCATATGTGTTCCAATTGTTTCACCCATGAACATGACCTCACTTGCATCCATTTACCCTTGAGAGCCTCGAGATTATCGAGGCTCTTTATAACTGAGTAGCTTTTGATTGTATGAAAATACCATATTTTTTTTATCCATTCTGCGATTGATGAGCAAGTTATCCTTGCATTTTTTTCTGGTCTCCTGATATATGGGACAATTGTTTTCTCTCCTTTGATTTTTCAGTCTATAAATTTCCTTTCCAGTTACGTGTGTTTCTTGTAGGGACCGGGGATTTAGCTCAGTGGCATAAGCACCTGCCTGGGGAGTGTAAGGTAGTGAGTTTGATTCTCTGTACCAAAACAAAACAAAATGTTTCTTGTATACAGCATATAGATGGATCTTGTTTGTTGATCCACTCTCCCTGTGTTTCTTTTTATTGCTGATCTGAGGCCATCTACATCAATGGTTACAACCAACATACATTGGTTTGTCTCTGTCATGCTATTCTCCTGCTGTGGGCCCTCCACTTTTTCCCTTCATTCAAATGCCTGTCTTGTTTGGTGATCCTTATCTGCTGCTGTTCCTGGAACCATGATCATCTTTATCTCTCTCTAGCATATCCTTTAGTACTCTCTGTATGGTTGGTTTGATGGCCATGAATTACTTCAGTTGTCTTTATCATGGAAGTATCTTATTTCTCCATCAATTTTGAAAGATAGTTTTGCTGGGTAAATAAATCTGGATTGGAAGATGTTTTCTTTCAGGATTTGAAACACTTCACTCAAGACTCTTCTTGACTTGATGGCTTGCATGGACAATCTGCCATGATTCTGACTGGCTTTCCTTTATAGGTAATCTGTTTCTTTTCTCTAACAGCTTTTAATATTCTGTTCTTGTGCTGAACTTCTTGGATCTTGATTATTATATGTCTGAGTGTAGATTTACTTTGGTTATGGCTAGTTGGAGTCCTATATGCCTCACTTATCTGCATGCCAGATCCTTTTTCCATGTTTGGGAAGTTTTTCTACTACGACTTCTGTAAATAGCCTTTTAATTTCATTTGCGTTGACCCCTCCACTGATACCTATCGCTCTTAAATAATGCTTTTTTGTGTCATCTTGCAGCCATTGAATTGTTATTTTCTGATTCCTTGTTATTTTTAAGACATCTTTCCTTTCATGATCGCTACCTGCAGTCCTGTCTTCAAGGTTTGAAAGTTTATCTTTGGTTTCTTTCAAGCGGTTTTGCCAGCTTCTGATTGAGTTTTTAATTTCCTATATATCTCTTTGAATCTGTTTCATGAACTGTAATTCCTTTCTAATTGTTCATTCAAGGTTTCTATCATTTTCCTATGCTCCTCTTTTTTATCTATGTCTTCTTTAGATATGCTGAGCAGGTCTTTAATTATGTTTGTGATTTCTTCTTTTACCTGAAACATTACTTCTGATTTGATTGCTTTTATAATTTAATGGAGTTTTTTCTTTTTCTTTCAGGTGCTATGCTCTCAGAGATTTCAGATGTGTGACTTCTGTTTCCTTCTATGACTGTATCACCCAGACTTCTGTGTGGGCTGGAGGTCTACGACTACCTATTTCTCCTTCATCTTGACATTCTCCTGGGTTCCTCCCAACATGCTGATTGTGGGGCCACAGGCACTTCCCACAATGACTGCTCCCCCCAACAGTGTAGCAGAATGGGACAGGGAAATGGGTTCTACTGATCCCAGATTTACAGGGAAAAAGCAGGGTATTGGGTAGGCTTTCCAGACTTATGTAGCTACAATGGGGCTTCCCCGATTAATCAGAGTGTGTGGAGGTGGGGCTGCTTCTCTCAGCTTGCATGTCTACACTGGAACTTCCATGGTGGTGGTAAGCACAGAGAGGCATGTTTGTCTGATTCTCCTGGTAGGTGATGGCTGTCTGAAGGAACTAAGGGCCTGGTGCATATTTGATATTATGCACTAAGGTGCATATTTGATATTAATATGACACTTCTATATTTTTGGTGCATATGAAACTAATGTGCTGATAGTGAAAAATCCATGTACTGATGACTGAACTGTTTGTCTTCTATTTGGTTAAAATTCAGCTGGTGTAACCCTCTTATTTTTTTCAAAGTGCCTAGCTAAGTCAAGTTTTTCAGTTCATTGAGAAGTTCCATTGAGCTATACCAAGTGTCATCAGTAATGTTTCTTTTAGTACCTTTGAAACATTTCACAAGCCTAAGAACAATTCTGGTAACATTTAATAAAGTGGATTTGTTTGGATTAACTGTCAACACTAGCATATATTTCTGTATCCACATATAATGAGGCAGCGTCAGGTAAAATCTACAGCTTTACATTGGCTTGTTAGATATATACAATCTAAAACCGCATGTGTCTTGAAATGGTGGTAGCATCTCATCTAATTAGGTGAATTCCAGGAGGATAACATGACTTTTACCTGTGACAAATTCATCAAATAAGTCTGAGACTTGTTTATTTTGACTCTCTTTTTTAGTTATGATGTTATCAAATCTAAAGCAACATACTGAAAATGAAAATGGAGCCAGACACACCGTAGCATGAAAAATGAGTCTTTCTGTTCTATGTGTTGTGTTGCCCACACTGCTCTTCACGGCCAGACTTAAAAACAGTAAAAACTCTATAAAAACTTAGGTTAGTGCTTTGGCACACAAAAAGAGTGATATGGTTTTTACTACCAATGGTTTCTCGGGACCTGATAATATTCTTCCTTGAGAAATCGTAGGAGCTTACCATGGATCTGTTGCATGCTGGATTCAGTACTCCTCCTGGTGGGAGACTATAGAAACACTAAATAATGTTGACAAATTAAAACAGCGCTTTAAAATTGCGCGTGGTCCTCAGCATCCGTCTGTAGCAGCTACAGGTTAACAAACTCAAACTGATACACCCCTACAAACAAACCACCAATCTAGCTACAAAGCCAAGCCAGAAAACACAGGAAGAATGCAGATTTGAGGAAGCCTTGAGTCCAGAACATGAGTCTCTCTGTCTCTGTCTCTGTCTCCCTTGCCTTTCTCCAGGTTCTTGCTTCTTAGAGAAGAGAAAGTCCAAAGGAATGCTGGCAGTCCTGCCCTCCATGTCACCCTAGTGAACCTTCAAGGTGGACCGCAGACAGCGCTCCCGCCAGAACTACAGAAACTGCTTCTGTAGCCTAGAAACCTCAAAGGCTCCTGGTTTCCACTGCTTCAGGGTCGCATCTCTGGACAACGGTGGTTGGCACCGTGATGCAGACAGGTGCTGGCACATGCGCATGCGCAATGGCAGGCGGAGCTCGAACTCCAGGCGGCCAGACAGGCACAGCTGGACATGGTAGACCCTATCTCCCAGAGAATGTGCCCCTAGTCTTCCTCTTCCACAACCTAATCCACCAGACTTCTAAATTGCTACTTCGGCCCAGTGGTAATTGAGAGTCACATAACTGGGCATGCCAGATTCCCAAAATGTGTCAGATGAGGGTGTGGATGATACTGAGTCTGCAAGTGGGAAAGAATCCTAAAAAAAAAAAGGCATTAACTGAGAACTCCTGCATCCGTTATAGGTGGCCCTGACTTTGACCTCAAACTCCAGGGAGCCCTGTGTCTGAGAAGAGTCTTCTATGAAATGATATACAAACACAAGCAGAAGTACAACAAGGTATAGCAATATTTTGTGGGCCACATGCAGATTAGAAACCTAGGATGTAAGATGGAGTTAGAGAATGTTTCAGGGATGGAATTTCGCTATTCCAAGACTAACCATGACACCAAGCTGTGCTGTCAGTAGTACTCAGGACTGTCCCTCTTCCTCCAAAAGGGTATTGAAAAGCCGTATCTAGAACCACAAGAGAAATTTTTCTGAAGGCCTTAGAGGTTTACCAAGGACCAAAGAGAGGCTACTCAAAAGAGAAATCCTCTGCATTGTGGCCACTAGACCCTCCCCAAGCCTGCTCAATTTCCCAGTAACAACAAACAGTGGGAGCCAGGTTCTTCAAAGCTCTTGGGCAGTCCCCCAAAATGAAATACTCAAAAATGAAAAGAAAATCCTGAGAAAATGGTAAACAACGTTGGGAGACTGAGGAAGCCCATAGTCACATTTGTAAATGAAGAAAAGATCTTTCTTTCCTTTCCTTTTTTTTTTTTCTTTCTTTCTTGACAGGTTGGGGACGAGTGGTCTCACTATGTTGCCCTTGTGACAATCTCATATAATTAGCTGGGAAAATTAGGTCCCATCCACTAATTTTAGTAATGCACAAGTCTACTGACGCAGAACATAAATATATCCAGTAGGGGAATAAAATAAATATGTCCCCTATATAAGGCTTACTCAGGCATACTAGGACATGAGCACATTATGCTCCTTACTGAAACTATTTATGTTTCTGTAGCTGTACATCATATGTTAATTACATTATTTAGAGAATGCTCCAACAGCAGCAGATACTCATTCCTTAAGCATCCATAGATGATTCACCAAGAGAGATTATATCTGAGTCATAAAGCAAATATCAATTTTTAAAGCATTGAAATCATAAAATATGCTCCACAATCATAATGGAATCAAACTAGAATCAATACAAATAAAATCAATAGGAAATCATCAAACATTCAAAAAGTAATACACTGCTAAATAATCCATAAAATAAAAAGGAAGTCTCAAGAGAAAAACACATTGAACTGGAAGAAAATGAAATATTCATAGCAGTTTTACTAGGAAAAATGCAGAACTAAAATTCCAGATATTCTTCATCAGGTGAATGTTTAAACAAACTTCAGTATATATGGACTAATATTCAGTAATTTTTATGAAATTATTTATATACACAATTTAGACAAATACCCAAGGGATTATGCTGAGTGAAAAGAAACCTCAACACATTACATGGCATAAGTCCATTTATGCAACACTCCTGAAATGTTAAAATTATGGAAGTATAGAAAAAATTATTGGGTAAGAAACTAAAGACAAAAAAGAGAGTAAAGACAGGAAGTAACAGTACGAGAAGTATGTGGATATGTTTATAAAAGAGCAGGATTCTTTGTGATGAAAATACTGGAAACATGAAAATATTCCTCATCTTAGTACTAAGTTAATAGATACTGGCATACATCACCAAAACTGTATAAAGCTAGACCAATAAAGAGAAAAATGAGTGTAAGTAAAACAAAATTCAAACATCAGTGGCTTGTATCAATGTCAATACTTCGGTTGTAATATTGCATTATAGTTTTGCAAGATGTTATTTTTGCAAAAAATTAGGTAAAATGCACAAGGGATCTGTATAATTGAATATATTAAATATTTCTCTTCAGTAAACTCTTGAATAGATGAAATTTGTTCTCTTAATAGATTCCTCCAGAAGGACAGTGGATATACATGTTGAAAACTGTTCTTTTATAGTTTTGTATTGAAGGACAGCGTGACTTGGTATGAAATTCTTGGCCCTGATGATACTCTCGGTCCTTCAGGTGTGTTAAGTTCAGGACCTCTCTTAAGTTCACACAGTAGTAGACAACTGAACCCAGAGACTCTGCACTGAGCTACATCCCCATTGCTTTCCCTTTTTTCTTTATTTTTTATCCTGTTTTTAAATTTTCGAACAGAATTTCACTAAGTTTACCCAGTCTGGGCGCAAATTTGTGATCCTCCTGTCTTAGCCTCTCAGAATGCTGGAATTATAGGCACAAGCCACCATGCCTAGTTCCTCTGAAATTCTTGTTTGGTTTTCCATTTGACTTGCAAACAAAAATACAATAAAAAATTTTAACTCCTCTACAATCTGGATACTAACTATAACTACTGTGACTAAGTTAATTTAAACATGTATCTTTTGCCAGAGGATTTAGCTTAGCAGCATAAGCACCTGCCTGGCAAGTAGAAGATCATGAGTTCAATCCCTGGTACAAAAAAATTTACATATATATATATATATATATATATATATATATATATAATTATTATTATTATTATTATTATATGTCTTTTACTCTGGAGTTACCGGGACTTACTCTGTGGGACCTACTTATTTGGTCCTGCCCCTGGCTTCTATTGTAACAGCCTCATTCTATTTCCTTTCTTCAGTTGCATTTTACCTTCACTCCCTCAATAGACTTTATAAAAGAATAACAATAGCTACCAATAAATACTGCTAGGAATTTAATATGTATTACAATATCAGTTAGCAGTTCTAAAACAAAGGTAGAATTATCTCCCATTTACATCCTTTCTGAATATACGAAGGATAGTAATTGGCCCGTCACAATTCTAGAAATTTCAGTTATGTTCAACAGGAAATTAATAAATCATGGTGCATACAGAATGGGGCCCTGCAAACATTAAGATGTTAGGGAAAGTAGGCTGATAATACCTTCAGTATAAAAATAGTCTCAAAGCCAGACATAATTGCACACACCTGTAATCCCAGCACTCACGAGGCTGATACAGGAGGGTTGCCATGATTTTGAGGCAAGTACAGGCCTACATAGTGTGACCCGGTTATCAATCAATCAATCAATCTCAAGACACTCAGGAAGTCTAAATTTTTTAATAGTGGTTGCCTCTGGAAATTGATTACGTGAGTTTTTTGGGGAAGAAAATTGTAAATATGGGAACATCAGAAACATACCTAGAGCATTTTAAGGATCTAAGTGACAAAACAAACATCATTTAAATGTAATTTTTTATTATGAAGTACTTTAAATACCAAGATACAGGGAATAAACCCAAACTCATACACTCACAATCAGCTTAATCTAATTGTAAGAACTGGCTGTCCTTGCTTATTTTTTAAAGAAACAAGTATTTTCCCTTTGCATCCTTTCTTCAGTCTTCTTTTTCTTTCCCTCTAGAGATCACCATTATGATTATTTCCATGAATGCCTTTACCTTCTTCATACGTAGTACTTAGCCATGAAAAATGCACATAACATCAATTTATACATTTTCAAGCTTTATGCAAATAAGTGGTACTGTACCACACAAACTGTTCTCTAGTTCAATTTCATTAATATTATTTTAGGGACATATCCATGGTAGAAGTATCTGTAGTTATCTCCTGGGCTTGGTGGTGCGTGCCTATAATCCCCATGATCAGGAGGCTAAGGCAGAAGGACTGCCATAAGTTTGAGACTAGCGTGGCTACACAGTGAAATGCTGTCTCAAAAACAAACAAGCAAATAACAAAACAGAGGTGTCTTTGTTATTAGTTTTAAATTGCATTCTAACTTACGCTCAGTCTAGTGGATAGGTTGCTTCTAACTATATTCTACAAGTAATGCTGCAAGACCTTCATGTATGTCTCTGAAACATTAAGAGAGACTCTGTAGAGGTTTAAGTGAAACTGCTAGAGTATTCACATCCTCATCTTTACTAAATATTGCTTAATTATGCTAAGTACAGTCAATTCCAATAGTATTGTGTGTTCCCTTCCCTCCACATTTTTCCAGGAATTGACACTGTGATACTTTTGCTTGTGTGACCATTTTGAAATAGTTTGTGATTTTATTTTGCATGTACCTTACTGCTAGTCAATTTTTCTAACACCCTCCAAATCTACCTTTTCACTAAATGTTATCACCATAAGATTTAATATTAGATTCCATAATTCTCTTGTTAAGAATTTACATTTCGTAGGTGAATTTCTGAACTTATAAAATTAAAGGGCAATAACGTGCATAGAGGAATTTTGGCTGGAAGTACAGTGAATTAGGAAGAACTGTCAACTTCATTGTCTTGAGTCTCTTCAGCACCTGCTATATAACATACCTCAGTTTACTTTTTGTTATTCTTCAGTTTTCTGGACTTAGAAAATTGATGGTTTTATATATGTGTTAAATTTTTTCACCTCTAGAATGTAATTCCATTGTTGTTACATTATCTCCTCATACCTCAAACAGTGTCAAACACTAGCTACTCAGTATTCACTAGTTTTCTTTCCTCAATTCCTTTTGGGTTTCAACTTTGCAACCACTGGATAAAACTTAGAAACTTTACATTTTCTTCTATACTATATAACACTTTACATGTTTTCAAAGTTACCTGAATTTATCCATGCAAATACCTGTTTGGTGCTTTTTAATGGGACATATGAATTTCTGTATATGTTGGTTTTCTCTAATTGTAACCACTGATTTTCCTGTTCTAAATATAAGCTGTGCATTCTTCCAAGTGAAACCTATTTTTAAAATTCTCAATAAAACTGCAAATACAAGTTGTTCAGTCACATGATGTCATAGTAGAGGTGGAACTGAGTTTCCAGAATCTAAGGTCTTAATCCTGGGAAGTACCTAGTGCCTAGAGGAGAATAAGGAATAAAATAAGGTGAGTGGTATGAAAAATAATGGAAATTGCTCCCATGAATTCTCTTTAAAAACTTTGTAAAACTGGTTATAAGTATTACAACATATAGATTGTGTCTATATTGATTGTTCAGTTATCGTCAGAATAGATGATGTCTCTACATTGATTATTCACTCAGAGGGCATACTCTCACTTATATTCTAAAACTTTTAGATTTTCCCAATTCTGATCTGGTGTTTCCCAAGAATAGTCTACTTTGTCCACAAACACATCTTGTCTGATCTGTGAGAAGTGACTAATACATGTTGAGTATGTAGAACAGTGCCTAGAGTGTAACAGGCACTCAGTACCTATCAGCTATTATTATTTATTGAATATCTGCTCTAGTTGATATACTATGTACTTTACATGCAATTTTCTCACGTTATATGCATCAACTTACAACAGACACTATTTCGTTTATTAGTCACATTTCTACAATATAATGTATTTTATTACTCCTATTTTAAGAATTAAAACCCTGAGGTTTACAGAAATTGTTCAGTCACACAATGTCATAATAGTGATGCAGCTTTGAGTTTCCAGAATGTAAAGTCTTAGTCCTGGGAAGTGCCTAGTGCCTAGAGGAGACTGGAATAAAATAAGACTGAATGGTATATTAAAATAAATAATGAAGAGTGTCACAATTTCAAAGGCTGCAGATAAGAATCTAAAAACAACAGTAAGCAAAAAAAGTTTAACTGGACATAGTAATATGTTAATTTTTTACTTTGTAAAGATGTTTGCATTATGGGAATGAATTTCAGGGTAAAAAAAAATGAATACAGGAAAATCTGGTAGAAAGCAGTGAGATGCATCTTAAGCCGTAAGGTGACAACATTAATGAGTGACAAGTATATACATTCCAAGAATATTTGGTAAATAGGATTTATAGGACTTGGTGGTTGGCTGGATTGGGCGGTGAAAGTGATTCCCCAATGTGAATTCTCTGATGATGAGCAAGATGTGCATGTTGTCTGAAGGTTTTCTTGCATTCTTTACATTCGTATGGTCTCTCTCCAGTGTGAATTCTTTGATGTTGGGCAAGGGATCCACAGTAACTAAAAGCCTTTCCACAAACATTACATTCATAAGGTTTTTCTCCAGTATGGACTCTCTGATGCTGAGTAAGGGATGAGTCATTGCTAAACGCCTTCCCGCATTTGATACATTCATAAGGTTTCTCTCCAGTATGAACTCTTTGATGTTGAGCAAGATAAGCAATCTGGCTAAAGGCTTTCCTACATTCCTGGCATTTATAAGGCTTTTCTCCAGTATGTATTCTCTGATGTTGTGCAAGATGTGAATTCTGGCTAAAGGCCTTCCCACATTCTTTACATTCATAGGGTCTCTCTCCAGTATGTATTCTGTGATGTACAGTAAGGTATGCACGAAGGCTAAATGCTTTCCCACAGACATTACATTCATAAGGTTTTTCTCCAGTATGTACTCTCTGGTGTTGAGCAATGGATGATCTATTGCTAAATGCTTTCCCACATTCCACACATTCATAGGGCTTCTCTCCAGTATGAACTCTTTGATGCTGAGCAAGATAGGCAAACTGGCTGAAGGCTTTCCTACATACCTTACATTCATAAGGTTTTTCTCCAGTATGAACTCTCAGATGTTGAACTAGATGTGCATTCTGACTGAAAGCTTTCCTACATTCCTTACATTCATAGGGTTTTTCTCCAGTATGAATCCTGTGATGCTGAACAAGGTTTGATCTCTGGCTGAAGGCTTTTCCACATTCTACACATTTATAGGGTTTCTCTCCAGTATGAATTCTTTGATGAAGAGTAAGGGATGAGCTCTGACTGAACACTTTTTCACAATCATTACATTTCAAAAGTTTTTTCTCTGCATAGACAGTTTTAGGTCTAATAGTCACTAAATTTGTTTTAAATCTTTTCTTACATGTATCATGTTTATATACTTTTTCCTCTTTGGGGATTATCTGTTGTGCATGAAGGAAAGTGTTCGGATAGAAACTTGCCCAAGATTTATTATAATCTTGGTCTCTTTTATCAACAAAGGCTTCTGTATAAAGGATTGTCTCTTCCTTAAAACATGCATTTTGATTTCCTGGTTGCCTCTCAAAACTGTCTTCATATTTCCAGTCTTCTCTCAAACTGGAGTACTTAAGGTCACAGCTTGTAAATTTTTCCATTATCTTCTGCGATAACTGTTCTTCATAAAGTTCCTGCTTTGGTGTTAATTTGTCAGTATCACATACAGATTTCCAACCTGAAAAGTAATAAAAAGAGAAAATTTATTCTCTGTTGTATACCAGAAAGTACATTTAGAAAAGTTATACCTGTGAATTTAATAGCAAGTAAAACTCAAAAGTACACTGGCTTTTATAGTACTGAAGTATACAAGAAGAGAAACTAAAACTACATCATATAGAAACCTCAAGATGAATGTTTATAATAAAATCAAGAAGAGAAATCTCAGGCCTAGAAGGTATTATAGATATGGTTGGACCCAATTATAATTTTAGAATTACTATAGTCATTGAAAAATCTGTTTCTTATAGCCAGTTAAGACTATTTTGATCAACTATTTACCATGTACCAGATACTGTTCTAGATGCTTTCAGTACCATAAAACAAAGGTCGTAGCCAGGCATGGTGACATGTGCCTGTAATCCCAGCAGTCAAGAGGCTGAGGCAAGGGAATCATTGCAAGTTTGAGACCAGCCTGGACTACAAAGTAAGTTCAACGACAGCCTGAACTGCATAATGAGACCCTGTCTCAAAAAGAGTAAAATAAAATAAAAGAACAAAGGTCCTTAGATTCATGAACATTATTTTCTTAGACAGAAAGCAAGTATAAATTTTATTGTATATTAAAGCACACTCAGTGCTAAGGAAAAAGAAAACCATGGTAAAGAGATCAGGAGTGCTGGTGAAGTTCAAGGCAAAACTCATTAATAAGGTAACATTTGAGCAAAACTTTGAAGGAAAAAAGTATTATGTGTAAAAGGAATAGCTAGTTTAAAAATTCTTAAAAGTAGAAGACTGTTTAATATGTTTCAGGAATAGTAAGAAGGCCAGTGTGATTACAAAAGAGTAATAGGAGATGACATCAGGAGGTAAAAGATGATCAACTTATTTAAATTGTACATGCCTTCCAGTGAATTTGGGTTTTATTCTATAAAAGAATGGAGGACACTTAAAATGTTTTGAGTAGACAAGTGGTATCAGACTGCTGTCTTTAAAAATTACTGCAAGACGGGAAACAAAGGGAAAAAGAAGGAGATAAATTATAATAATCCTGGTGAGAGTTGGCAGAAGTATTTACATAGACTTTTTATTTAATTACATATATATGCTTATATATACTTACCAGGTGTATTACCTGGTAATAGTGATGATGAATAAAATCTTATCATATATCCTTTTCTATGCCAAACTTTTTTCTTAAAAAATTGTATAAGAACATAAAAGATTAGGTAGAGGCAGTGGAGGCATAATATGGGATGTAGGGTGACAGAGGTGTTTACAATGATAGCAAATTAGTTCTTCCTTTCACCTTAATGTTTCCTGTGTCAATTGGAAAATTCTTCTCATACCATAAAGCTAAACACTTATACTCTTCTCCCATTTTCTAGTTGCTACTGTATTTTGTTAAAGATCATCATTTTTGCAGACTCTTCTGCTTCTCACTTTTTCTCTATATATCCTTTATGTCAGCATCCTTTTCATATAAGCCATTTTACAGCTATACTTTATCTATGCTACTAGTATATTAATTATGTGTATATACACATAACACCCTATCACCTTGGAGGGGAGAGAGTGAGCAGGAAAGTGGTGTTGAAAGTACGCTATGTAAAGTGCAAATTCAGTAATGCTGATGTAAAGCATAACTCCATATGCTTCCTTTTTCTCTGAACTGATCATTCAGAGAAAAAGGAAGCATATGGAGTTATGGTATTACTACTATAAATAGTGGCTAACAGCAATTTTTACTAGTTCATACTATAGGATAGAACTGCTACAACACTGTAAAAGCATTATTTTCTTTCAGGAATGACAAAACAAAAACACAGAGAGGGCTTTCCTCAAGTTTCAATACATGTAAGTTTCAGACAGGACTTAAATCTGGTACTTCATTTACAGCTTATAAAGCTCAAGAAGTTATTAAATTGGGAAGATTTTTTAAAGACCAGAATTATGAAATGGAGAGAGAATAGGACTCAGAGAATAGATAAATAAACTATTAGAAAGAATAACAAAGTATAAAAGTAGGGACAGTTAAGAATAACAAATATGGGAGAATGTCCTAGAAGATCCCACATTTCTGTTAAGCCCTGGAATGTTTGAGAACATGTCACAAATAGCAACAAAGAGATAATTTCTTGGAGCTGTCACCTGCAAAGATTTTTGTCTTCCAATTTCCTCTTCACTCACCTGAGCTCAAACCATTTGTCAGCTCTCTCTTCACCATCCATGGCTCTTTTCCTTGTTCCAGCAATAATATTACACTTGGCTTAGAAAAGCAAAGACCTGAATATATATAGAATTAATTTAAGTCATGCTGTGGATAATGCAGAACTCATTCAATTATCAGCAGGGAAGAGGTAGCTTACAGTAAGTCAAAAATGATAAAGGACTTGTTTTAGAAGGCCAGGGAAAATAAAGCTTTAGGCATAGTTCAGTAATAGACATGCATGGCCAACTCCATAAATACCAAAGCATTTGTTTGGCATAGGCAGCAGACATAGCGCTAAGCTTTGCAGATGCTCTCCAAAAATTCATAATGGTGGTAGCAAAGTGCTCCTTAGGAGTAGAAGTTCGACTGTGCAAGGGGAAAAATTCCTTACCCAGTGATGCCAAGATCCTGTAATTCTCCAACATCACATTACTATACAAATGCTTTTGAGAAGAATCCAGACAATCCCACTCCTCTTGGGAGAAGTCTACAGCCACATCCCTGAAGGTCACTAATTCCTGAAAGAAAATAAATAAATTAAATAACTTCCTCCCTTACTGTACTCACCTCATTTGCTTTGCCCCAACATATTGAGCTTTTCCTGGTATTTCACCCTTAAATATGCCAACCATGTTCCCTCTCAGTACCTTGTACTTCTTAAATCACTATGTATATAAAAAAAAGCAATGTTCCTATCACAATGTTTTTGAGACAGGGTCTCACTGTGTAGTTCTGACTAGCATTGAAATCAGTATGTAGTCCAGGCTGGCACTGAACTCCCAGTGATTCTCCTGCTTTAGCCTCCTAAGTGATGGGATTACAGGCATGCAACACCATGCCCAGCTTCCTATCACAATTCTTATTCTCTTATCCCTGTTTTATTTTTCTCTATGGCACATATTTTGTTATTTTTGTTGTCTCCTTTTTCTCACTGAAAACTAAGCTCCATTAAGGCAGATTTTTTCCCCCCTTTGGTCACTGCTATATCCCTAATTATGAAACAGTTTCTGGTACCACTGGATATTCAAACATCCACTAAATAAACTGAGGAACAAGGATGTATCTTGGTGGCACACCTGCCTGGCAAGCATGAAGCCCTGACTTGGACTGCCAGTACCAAAACAAACAACAAAAAACCCTAAATAAATTGAATGAATGAATGGTTTGAAAATTTCAGGAACTAACCAGGCCTGGTGGCATATGCTTGCAGTCTTAGCACTCAAGAGGTTAAAGCAAGAGGGCTGCCATGAGTTCAAAACCAGCCTGGTTACACAGAGAGATCTTTTTTTTTTCTTTCAGGAAGTTATGAGGGTGTCATGGTTTACTTCTAGATGTTCCCCCAAGAAACTTCTGCACTCATAGGCAAGGTTTTGGAAGATAATTGCATTATGGGGACTTGTACCTAGCTTGCTGCTAGGAGGTGGCCTCTGGTTAGAAGAGGTAGGTCACTGGGTCAAGGCCTGGAAGGAATTATGTCTCCCTCCCCAGGGCCTCCCTTCCCTCTTGTGCTTTCTGTTGACCAGGAAGTGAGGAGCTTTTCTTTTGCTGTGGCTCTCTGCCATGTCCTTTTGCTTTGGATTCAGCCAAATATGGATTGAATTAAACTTCTTTAAATTGCAGGTGTTGGGTATTTTGTCCCAGCGATGAGAAAGTAACTAAGACAAAGAAGATTCAAAAATGACACCAGTGGGCTGGGGATATAGCTCAGTAGCATAAGCACCTGCCTGGCAAGTACAAGGTCATGAGTTTGATTCCCAGTATTCCCCCCCCAAAAAAGACACCTGAAAGTACTGATGTCTTCCAAAAATTGTGCAGACCAAACACAGCAAGTCATCAGTTCCATTAAAATTTAAATGCTAATGCACAGTTCTTCAATCTTTGTGTGAAGAAGCAGACATTCTATTCATGGTGCTTCTGCCTGCAGGGCATGGGCAAAGTTGTTAAAAACGCTGCCGTTATGCTGCGATTCAGTAGGATTCCAGGTTTCTATCACATGACCACTTGCTGATAAAACAAATACATGTGTTTATGTATTTTTAAATTTTTACAAAAGTAAAAGTTGTGAATGTATCAAGGTAATAAAAAGATATGACTTTTTAAAGGGGCTTTTTTTTTCTTTTCTGGAACCAGGAACTGAACTCAGACCTTTGCATTTGCTAGGCAGGCACTACACTGCCAGGTTACATCCCAGTACTCTTTTCTTTTTTTTTTAATATTTGATGGGTGTGTGTGTGTGTTTGTGTGTGTGTGTGTGTGTGTGTGTGTGTGTGTGTGTGTGTGTGTGTATGTGTGTGTGTGTGCTTGTATATACCCTAGGCAAGCTTTTTACCACTAAGGTACATTCTGGCCACAATTTTGTTGCCATTTAATGGCAAACTGTCTCAGTCAGCCAGGATGGTACATGCATGCAATCCAAACTCACTTGGAGGCTAAGGCAGAAACTTTGCAAGTTTGGGCCTAACCTCAGACACGTACAGCAAACCTATCTCAAAATTTAAAACACAAAAATGGCTAGAGAATCTAAACAACTATTTTGAAGGTAACAATATGCAATGTATTATTTGAGAGTCTGGAAGAACATGGCGGATAGATAGCAGCAGCCTCAGAGGCTCTTTGAGAAACCGCACTTGAAATCTAGGAATGGTGCTGGGCAGGAAGTCCCAGGCAAGGGGGGATATTCTTTGCTGACCCAAGAACGAACTAAATTAAGAGAAACCATCTGGAAACGCAATCCTGGTGTTTCAGCAGGCACAGATAAGGTCTTAGCATGGAAGCCGGACCCGCGCCCCTAGAAACTGAGATTTGAATTACCTGCAGCCACTGTTGCATCCCGGCTGACACAGTGGGGAGAGAGGCGTGAAAGCTCAGAGAGTGGGAAGCATTGGAAGGAGTTGGGAACGGGACTGGCCGGGTGCCCTGCATCAACCCACGGTGAGTGAGCGAATCGGGACCCTTCCACAGAGAAGGAGGCTTCAGCGGAGGACATACTCAGACTGGGCAGACTTCCCGGAACGAGAAGCTGCAGTGACTTCAGTCACATATCCCCCTCTCAAGCGGGATTGGTGGGGAGTGCCTGGCCTGTGAGACGCCGCTGGCTGAGACCAAATAGGCTAGCCCAACTCAGGTCCCAGCGCCTGGAGGTACACCCTAGAAGTGAAGCCTTCAGTAGACTGACCTGGAGGGGCGGCCCAGCAGGGACTGCCCAGGTCTGTGTCTCCCTGGTGCCACTGCAGTGGGTGGGGACACCTAGCCAGCGCAATTCAAACAGACTGTGGCCAACAGGGAAGGAAGCTGGGCCTCCTATACATGCTTAAATGTAAGGAACAAAGAATATGGGAAGAGGGAGCAACAAGAAAGGGTCCTCGGCCCCCAATCCTGAGAAACACGCAATAGCAGACATGCATCACCAATAGACATAAAGCGCTATCTCCAGAGCCTCATAGACGAGTTCAGGAATGAAGTTATCAATGACCTGAAGCAAGACATAAGCAGAATAGGCAGAGAAATGCTAAGCACTGCCCAAGAAAAAACAGATGGTGGAATGGAAGAACAAAAAAAAAGGGGGGGAGAATTGTTTGATGGAGAAGATAGAGAAAACAGAACATGTAAAGCAGGTTCAAAGAAATTACCAGGAAACTAAAAACTCTTTCGAAAACTGGTATAACAGCTTGAAAGAAACTAAGGACAGATTATCTGAACTGGAGGGCAGATTTGTAATATAGGAGCATGAAATGAAAAACTTCTTAAAAATAACAAAAAAAGAAACAGCAACAATACAAAAACTAGAAGATGATAAGAGAATCTATAACTTAAGAATTAAGAACATAAGAGAAGAAGTGGGGACACAAACAAATGGACTACAAAAGCTATTCACAGAAATAATCCAGGAGAATTTCCCTAATTTGGCAAATGGTAAAGATACTCAGATGTATGAGGCATACAGGACTCCAGCCACCTACAACCCAAACAGAGCTACACCCACGCATATAATAATCAAAATTCCAAAATCCAATATAAGAACAGAATATTAAAAGCCGTCAGAGACAAGAAACAGATCACTTACAAGGGAACACCCACCAGAATTACAGCAGACTTCTCGGCACAAACCATCAAATCACGAAGAGCGTGGGAGGAAATAATTCAAGCTTTTAAAGATAATAACCTCCAGCCAAGATTGATATATCCTGCATAACTGTCCCTAGAAATTGATGGAAAAACAAGGTGCTTCCAGGATAAAGAGGAACTAGGGGAATTTGCAACCACCAATTCAACTCTATAGAGATTACTGCAGGATATTCTAAAAATGAAAAATACCAAGATTCCAGAAACAGTGGCAGAGAGGCCACAATGAATGGAGCAGAAAGCGAAATGAAGAGGACAAAATTAAATAAAACAACAACAAAAAAAGAAAACCAAAAAAAAAAAAAAACCCCACAAAATATGTAAGAAAACAAGAAAAAAAGAACTGTCTCCACAGAACTAGGTCAAGAGTTTTTCAATATTCAGTAACATTTTTTCTTACTCAATTTTATGAATACATGAATTACTTCCTTTCTATTTCTCCTAATAATGTGGTTGTTTGGTATGGTATATATGCTTCCCTAAACGTTTTCCCCAACTTACATAAATACATATAAATGTATAAATATGTATGGCAAACTATGAAAATATTTTTTCACTGATTCTCTGATTGAAGTTAATTTATCCAATCAACAGAATAAATGATGGCAATGTAAGGAGCTGAAATTCTAACCTTAATCCAAAGAAGAATGACAGTACAGTCAGGCCTTTGTCTAGAAGTATTAGTGTACTCCAGGGATCCCAGCACTGTGGGAGATGGAGGCAAAAAAGATCACAAGTTTGAGCTCAGCCTGGGAAATTTACTGACTTAGCAAGCTCCTGTCTTGCTAACTAAAAAATAAAGGGCCAGGCATGGTGGCACACACCTGTAATCCCAGGTCTCGGGAGGCTGAGGCAGAAGGTTGCTTTGATTCAAGGTCAGCCTGGGGTATACAGCAAGACCTTGCCTCAAAACAAGCAAACCAATCAACAAATAAAAAACAAAAACAAAAATAAGAAATAAGGACTGGGAATGTGACTCAGTATGAAGGTCCTCGGTTCAATGCCCAGTGCTGCAAAACCAAACATAGTCAGTCTGCCATATTTGTAGATTCTGCATTTGCAGATACAATCAACTATGATCAAAACATTTGAGGAAAAGAGAGAACATGTAGAGACATGTTTTCTTGTCATTATTTCCTAAACAATACAGGAATACAGTTATGTTACATAACATTTACCTTGTATTAAGTGCTATAAGTAATAGATGATTTAAAGTACACAGGAGGATATGCACAGGTTATATTGAAATACTGCACTATTTTATATAAGGGACTTGCACATACTTGGATTTTGGTGTTGACGAGGGTCCTGAAACCAGTCCTGCACAGATACTTAAGGATATCTGTACTTGGCTTCAAAATCCATTTATATCTCTCATCAAACTATTCTGGCATAAATCCACAGTTACCTTCAACATTTGCCCTTACAGAAAAATGGCTTCAAGCTAAGAAGAACGCTTCTTCCTAGTGCCCTGCAATGTGGTGAATGTCTTATTTCCCACATTACTTCTATCACAACACCTGAGGATGAGGCAAGTGACGTCGCTGCTCCTCACACTTTTTACCATGGCACTCCTCCCACCCAAGACACTCAGGCGTAAATCTCATGAAATCAACTGCATCAGGTACTACTCTCTTTGTTTTAGTTATCTACCAATTCCTGATACCAATCCTGTCATCCTTGAATACTTCAGCCTCTGGGTCATTGTTACTCTCCATTGTTGTTCTTTTTAAAATTTTTATTAGTATGTTTGCAATACATAATGATTAATTCCTCATGGAAAGTGGGTGTATGTATGTAACACATCTCAATTGTTTTTTCATTCTCTTTCCCTTTCTTTCCTACTCCCTCCCCGCCATCTCGTATTCCCCTTCCTATTCAAAAAGATGTAATTCCTATTATGAATCTTTTATTTTACTCTTTGTTTATATTTTGGGTTTATCATATAATAGAAACCACTTGATATTTAAGTTTGTATGTCTGATTTATTTCAGTTAACATTATAGCCTCAAGGTTTCTCCATTTCCTACAAATGACTCAAAAGTTTATCCATTATGGCAGCATAGTACTCCATTGTGTATAAACATCACATTTTCTTTATCCATTCACCTTTTGATGAACAGATAAGCCACTGTTCTTATCATAATCTTTGCCCATTTCGATAAACATAACTTGTCCCATCAGTCTTCTATCTCCCTTCTCCTATAACAAATTTGTCCTTCATATTTCCAGTTATTCGCTTCTACGGCATGATCCAGACCTTGTTATTATGAATAAGCACCAAAGCTTCCACAATCTTAATCACCACACTCAGATTTCCCCCTCCTATATTTCAATCTTTTCCTCTGACATTCCAACAGGGATAATTCTTTGACCCCAGTGGAACCTACAATTCATTGATCTTACCACATTGTCATTCCCCCACATTCTCTCATTTCCTAGCACAATTGTCAGTGTCATTTCCTAGTACAACTCCCTGCATATGCCTTCTGCGTTCTTGCTCTTCTGTCACTTAACTGTACTCCTGTGATTAAACTACAGCCATCTCTCCGCTGATTTTCTGCCTTAAAGAGCTGCACACAATCATACTAGCTATGCTAGTCTATTTATTTATTGATTGATGGATTGGTTGCTAGAAAATGGAACCCAGAAAATGGAACCCATTTCATATACCAGGTAAGTGTTATACCACTGATCTATATCCCCAGCCCTAATCGAAATTCCTGATCAATAACCTCAAGTAGGCGAAAATGCTATTTAGATGACAAATTTTTCCCTTGGTCTCCTAAATGACCACTTAATATGTTCCTCTCTCTCCATATCTTCATATCTCTCCTCCTCTATCCTTCCTCTGATATAACTGTGAGCTGTTTTACTAAAAAAGTCATTTGAAAGGAATTTCTACAAACTCCCATCACAACACCTATACATCTATCTGCATCTGTGCTTGTCTTCTCTAACTTGCCCCTATTACTATAAATAATACTTTGCTCACTTTCCAAGCAAAGGCCAACCTCTCAGGTCCTCTCACTTAATTGTCCTCTTTTTTTCAATTTCCTCTTTTTTTTTAATCATCAATTTCTTTTTTTCTACTGAACCTTTAACATCAGCATAGGAACATATACCCAAGGTGCTAATCAGCTTCCTGTCACTGTGATAAAATACTTGAGACAATCAGCTTATAAAGTATCAAAATGTGGTTTTAGAGGTTTCAGTCCATGTTTGTTTGGCATTGTTGTTTGGGGGCCTGGGATCACCAAACTAGTAAGTACAGACAGATTAAGGAAGAGTACCAAGACTAAACCCCATATTAACACAAGCCGACAATAACAAGTCCCTAGTAAATTTAGTTGAATGCATGAATAATGTTTGAGTAGTGAAAGGAATGAAGAGGATGGTTTGTAGCTGTATGTGAGAGAACAGTATATCAGGAAAAGTGAACAGGAAATGCATGACCATACATTAAAAATCTATTCAATTCAGCCAGGGGAGTGGTGCATTCTTGTAATCGCAGCACTTCGGGAAACTGAGGCCTCACAAGTTCAGGCCCAGTAGGGAATTTAGTGACTTAGCAAGACCCTGTCTCAAAAAACAAAAAAACTTAAAAAAGAGGTAGAGATATTGCTCTATGTAAAGGCCCACGGTTCAATTTCTAGTACCAAAAAATTTTTTTTCAATTTATTACAAAGAAGCCAGCATGAACTAATTGATTAATTTCTCACACAGGGTGAGATAAGTTAGATGAGATCAAGAGAGATATTCAGGGAGAGATTATGTAGAGTCTTGCAAGCCATTCTTTTATCTTGAATCTGACAGGAATCCCAATGGAGAGGTTTCAGAAGTGATGTGATTGACAGAAAAATTTCAGCAAAAAACATATCTACTTATTTTGAAAAGCAAAAGGTTTCTCTTTCAGGAAAGAGAAAACACCTACTCACCTGGTACATGGCTTTAAGAAGTCCAACAGCCATTTTTTCTTCTTCTAGGCTCTTCTCTTGAGAAATGGAAGTGACCTCAGATGACTGAGGTGAGTTAGAGAATATGAGAAACTACACTTTCCTTGCATGAATTACCAGAATGGACTTTTTTGGCTTCTTTCTCCTGCTGCAATCTTCCCTCCAATAGAGAGAGAACGGAGAATTAGGAAGTATCACACAATTTAATTCATGCCAAACTTACTTTCCAGTTTATTTTTTAAAAGTATGTTTTCAGGTTTTATAAATAGACACTGTGGAATATGATCATTTACATAAAGACACACAACAAATAGATAATTGCATCAAGATCAGATAAAATCTTGATTCCAGTCTTTCTTTACAAAAAATAAGTGATTCCAAACCTTGGTGGCACACCGGCATCACTTGGTTAATTTTAAAAGATCCTGGGTGTCAAAATCTGACTTAGACCCCTCACATACCCAGACTTAAACACTACAGTTCCTGCCATCGTCTTAACACACAGTACCGTTAAAAACCATGGGAATAAAGAATCTCAACACCCCTCCACACACACACACACACACACACACACACACCCATCCTCAAATCTGAAACAATATCACAACCAACGGTCTTCACACTATGGTCACAAAGAGGCCGCAGGTACCCGCACAACGGGGGACAGAGAATACCGACCCACTCCGGCTCACCCTCTGTGCTACCAAATAGCGACTCAGTAGCACCCACAGTCACAGAGATACGAGGTGGACACGCATATCAGATGACAGCCTCATACTGTATGGTACCAACCCCTGTCTCACCCGGAGAGCCACGGCGCGACTGGGTACGGGTGGCCAGGAGATCCACAACCTAGCGCTCACCACCAGAACCAAACTGTGGGAAGAGCTCGTTCCCTTCCCAGGGGTCCAAGGAAACTCCTCTACTCAGGGCTCTGCCGCTGCCCTGAGTTAGATGAAAACCAGCTTTAAGGGGGCCGGGAAAAATGGGCTCTGGCTGCCTCCGCCCGGGAGGACACAAAGGGGCTGGCGGCGTCGCTCTCACAGGGATCGCTGGGAAATGTAGTCCTCATAGAAAAAGCCGCAGCTCTGCGGCGTCCCACTGCGCAAGCGCCGGCGCAGGCGCAGCGCCTCTCCACATCCTTTAGACCTCTTTCCGCGCTAGGTACTATCGCGCTGGTATCTCTTTGGATTTCCAAAGCAAAGCTCCAAAGTTCTGATTCCAACTGAGCAGGCTGCGGAACCAGATGGGGTGTCACGCTAAAATTGAGATTGAAAGCTCAGCCACGTTCCTTTATAATCTGGGTGGAGAATTTAGAGCCTCGAGTTTAGTCACAGGGTGAAGAGTTCCTGGAGTTGATGGAATTCCAGAAAAAAGTTGGGACACAGGTAGGCAGAGTGCGCATGCGCAGTGTGCCTCTGTCCAGTTTTGGTTCCCTACCCCAAGCGTTTTTTGCCCGAAAGGAGGCTGCCTTAAAAACCCGCGGGACAAGTAGAGAGCCAAGTGTCATGCTTGGTGCCTGGTTTCTCTGTTTCTGATTTGGTGATGTTGCGTGCGAAATGCTCTTTTTAAAATGATTCATGAATGTTCCGTCAAGGTTCCCTCCATACGTTCAGATAACAAAGTCACGACTGCAAATAAGTCCTTTTTGATTACACACTGTCCTCTGGCATTAAACAGCTCCTTGACTTGACTCTTTACTCCCTTAGGACGCATAGTTTTATATTTATTAATTGCTGCCCCACAAGTGTCTGTTACCTGATTGTGGTTTTGTGTGTACATGATTGTGTATATGCCTGTATGTGTGTCTGACAGTATAAGCCTGTAAAACTGGTGAGGTGAGCATGCTACTTTTTGTTTCTTTTGCAGCGCAATTGGTCTGAGTCTCTTACTCAACAGCCTGGTTCTTTGTATCCTGAAGGAAGAGTTGAGCAAGACCACAGGCATATTAAGAAAGAGCGGTAATACACTCATCAGAGCAGGAGTGGGCCTATGAGAAAACTGGAGAGCAAGTTTGACTGAGAGTGCCCATCTGTTCTAGGTTTTGAGGTATTTAATTATGACCCTTCCCAGGTTTTGGAATCGAGGTGGCACCTAAGAGAAATTGAAATTCTCCACGCTCACATGAGGAGGGGTTGTTTTTGACTATTTATGGGTCTGGACAAGAAGCAGTATACTGCAGCTTCCAATAGAGTGTATTGTCAAAACTGCAATGCTAAAATGATTCTGTAATGGCCATTGAGTTACCCTGAAACAGGGTACATGCATGCCAAAGGTCAAAGAAGTGTGATAAGAGCAAGAGCGTACGTTTTATTTTTGATTTTTTGTTTTGTTTTTTGGTACCAGGGATCAAACTCATGATCTCGCGCTTGCCAGGCAATCACACCGCTGACCTAAATCCCCGACCAAAAGCATACGTTTTAAAATTTTGTCATGCTGTTACAGATACTTGATAAGGAAGGACCATATTTCTCAAGATCATGTTAGTATGTTAAGGAAATATGGTTAAGAGCAGGATGCTCTTTTGGTCTCCAAAAGCCAGAAGGCACCCTGTCATAATGTAACCCTAAGGCCAGAATGTTGCCCATATTATCTACTGTCTCATGATGCATGTGAAACATGTGATGTTACTGTGGGAATGTGCTCCCTTGGGGACTGATTTGTGGACAGTGGAATAGGAATATGTGAGACTGTGAGGAATAGATTGATTGATTTGTGCCACATGCCATTTGAGGTGCTGGAATGTACACACAAAAAATAAACTTCAATAAAGTTGACCTAGGATTTGTCAATTTTATTTAATCGTTCAAAGAACCAACTCTTCAATACATTAATTTTCTTAGTCTTCACATTGATTTCACAGTGGTTGCACAAGTTTATACTCCCACCAACAATGGAGAAGAATTCCTTTTTCCCCACAGCCCCACTAGCATTTGTTATTGGTTGATTTCTTGATAATAGCCATTCTTTCTGGGGTGAGATGTAATCTCAGCGTTGTTTTAATTTGCATGTCTGAAATGACCAATGATGTACAACATTTTTCCACATATTTATTTGGTATTTCTACTGTAAGAAGTGTCTATTCATTTTAGATGCCTGTTTTTGGGTTGGGTCTTTAAATGGAGGTGTCTGATTTTTTTAGTTTTTTAAAATTTATTTTAAAAAGCAAAATAAAAAGGGATAGAAATACAGAATTTCAAAAAAACAGTAAGAAATCAACACTAGTTAATATATTGCATATTGCTATCTTAGTAGTGGTTTTTCAGGTTACAAGATCTAGGTATCAAAAATGATCAAATAATCAAACAATGATGGCACAAACTTCTTTTTGATGAACTAACATATTAGTAGTATAGTCATCTATCTTGCACAGATACACATACATAGTTATATGTGTATACCTACATGCATATAATATTTTCCTTTCTTCCTTTTTTCCCCCTATACCAGTTGTTTCCTTTTGAGCACTTTCTTTCTCTTTCATTATTACAATATTTATTATTCCTTTTTAGATCGTCTTACTCTCAGTTTTTTATTATTCTTTTTACACTAGGAAGACAATAAAATATTTATAAATTAATTTTATTTCACTTATGAGTATAGTTTCAAGTTGCCTCCCTTTACCTATAAAAGCCTCAAAATTATCCTTTTTATAGCTGAGTAATATTTCATTGTATAGAGGTTTTTTTTGTTGTTGTTCTTATATATTCTATATAGTAGTCCTTTGTCTGAGGAACAGCTGGCAAAAACTTTTTTCCACACTATGAATTGTCTTTTCATTCTCATGGTGGTTTCTTTTGCTGTGCAAAAGCTTTTTACTAAGATGAGATCACAGTTGTTGACTGTTTGTGATAGTTCCTGTGTGGTTTTATTCATAGTCTTTGCCTGTACTAATGTCTTCATGAGTTCTACCTATTCTATGTTTCAAGAGATCTAATATTTCTGTTTTAATATTTAGATCTTTAGGGCCAGGAATATAGCTTAGTGGCACAGTACCTGCCTGGAAAATGCAAGGTTATGAATTTGATCCTAGTGGCAAAAATTTTTAAAAAACATTTTATATACCATTTCGAGTTTTTTTTTTTTTTTGGTCTTTTTTCATTTTTATCGGTACCAGGGATCGAACTCACGACTGCCTGCTTGCAAGGCAGGCGCTTATGCCGCTGAGCTAAATCCCCAGCCCTATATACCATTTCAATTTTGGTTTAGTGCGTGGTGAAAGATACTCATCTAGTAATCTTCGGCATGTGGAAATTTTTTCTAGAACAATTATTAAAGAGGCTATTTTCCAGTGAATGTGTAAGTATGTCTGGAGTTGTTTCTGCATCTTCTAGTCTTGGTCCTTAGGTTTGCTTTTTGTCAGTACCATGATTTTTTTTAATCACAGTAGCTTTGCAGTATAATTTCAAATCTGGGACTGTGATGCCCCCTGTCTTGCCTTGATTGCCCAGAATTGCTTTTGGTATTCTAGGTCTTTTCTGATTTTAAATAAATTTTAGGATTGTTTTCTTTACCTCTGTAAAATATGCTGTTGGAATTTTCATCAGAATTGCATTAACTCTTTCATTATATTGTATTAGTTCTTCCTACCCAAGAGCAAGGGATATCTTTCCATTTTCTGACATTCTCTTCAATCTCCTTTTTCAGAGTACTGTATTTTTCACTGTAGAGGTCTTTTACATCCTTCACAGGATTGATTTCTAGGTTTTTCATTTTTTTGGATGCTACTGTGAAAGGTATTGTTTCTCTAATTTTTATCTCAATGAGTTTGTTATTCAGGTACAGGAAGGCTATTGATTTTTGAGTATTGACTTTGTATCCTGCTATGCTATTGAATTTGGTTATTAAATCTCGAAATATTGAGGTGGAGTTTTGGATATTTTGTTTGTAGAGTATCATATCATCCACAAGTAATGATAATTTGACTTCTCCCTTTCCTATCCTTATGTATTTTTTTCTTTTTAGCCAGTGCTCTAGCTAATATTTACAGAATTATATTGAATAAGAGTGGTGATAGCAGACATATTTGTCTTATTCCTGAGTTTAGAGAGTGAAAATGTTCAGATTTTGTCCACTTAGTATGTTATTGGCTATTGGTTTGTCATAGATGGATTATATCAGATTGAATTAAAGACTATCTATTTCAACTTTCTCTAGGGCTTTTTTTTTAAATCATGAATGGGTGCTGGACTTTGTCAAGTGCTTTTTCGGCATCTGTTGTAGGGAGTGGCATGACAGCCCCATTGCTGCCTCCCCGCCTCTCTCCCCTATGGGCACATAATGCGCCTGCCTACATTACCCATAATCCTCTCCTGCTTACATCACATATCCAGATGTGACATGTCCTATCAGAAACCACCCCATAGCCTCTTCCTGTCCCACCAGCCTGCCCTTGGCCTATAAAAGCTGCAACCACTTCCTGAATAAACGAGACTTGATTGGACTCCTCATCTTGTCTCAGTCTCTCTTTGTCTCCCACCCTGTTTTTTTTTCATCCCCATTCCCCCTCCAGGTATACCCCATGGATTGATCCGCGGGCTGGATCAATCTGTTGAGATGATCATATGGTTTTTGTCCTTGGCTCTGTTAATATGGTTTATTACATTTATTGATTTACATATATTGAACCATCCCTGCATCCCTGAGATGAATCCTCCTTGGTCATGATGTATAATCTGCTTGATGATTCGCTGTATTCTGTTTGCCAACATCTTATTAAGGATTTTTGCACCAATGTCCATTAGGGAAATTGGCCTCTAGTTCTCTTTCTTGGTTGGGTCCTTCTGTGATTTTGTTTCCAAGAATGAATTTGGAAGTATTGGTTTCCTTTCAACTTCATTAATGAGTTTGAGAAAAAGCAGTGTTAGATCTAACCTTCTTGTAGAATTCAGCAGTGAATCTGTCAGGGCATGGGCTTTTCTTTGTTGATAGGTTCTTAATTATACCTGCAATTTCATTGATATTGGCTTATTTAAAATTTTTATATTTTCTTGATTCATCTTTGGTAATTGACATGTATCTAGGAATCTGTCCATTTCTTCTACATTTTCCATTTTATTAGAGTACAGGTTTTGAAGTAGGTAAAGGCGATCTTGTATATTTCTACAGGATCTGTTGTGATTTCACCTTTTTCATTCCTAATTGCATGAATTTGAGGTCTTTCCTTTTCTTAATATGTTAGCTAAAGGTTTGTTGATTTTATTTAACCCTTCAAAGAACCAACTCTTTGATTCATTGTATTTTCTTAATTTCTAGTGCATTGATTTCTACTCTGATCTTAATAATTTCCTCGCTGTTATGAGTTTGGGATTTGACTTGCTCTTCTTTCACTAAGAGCAGAGGTTCACCATTATGTTATTTGAACTTGCTCTGTTTTCCTGTTATGGGTATTCACCACTATAAATTTCTCTTATAGGACTACTTTTACTATGCCCCGTAAGTTTCAGTATGTTGTGCTGCCATTATCATTTGTTCATAAATGATAATTTATTCTTTAATTTTATCTGGAACTCACTGATTGTTCAGGAGTAATTTCCATGTATTTATCAAATTATTATGGTTTCTTTTACCTTTGATTTCTAATTTCATTGCACTATGGTGTGATAATATGCATTGGATAATTTCAGTTCCTTTGCATTTACTTAAACATGTTCTGTGAGCGAGTGTGTGCTCCATTTTGGAGAAAGTTCCATGTGCAGCTGAGAAGAATGTTCTGATCTTGTGGGGTGGGACACTATAGACATCTATTATGTCCATTTGTTCAAAAATTTAGTTCAGTTCTAATATTTCATTGTTGATTTTTTTGCCTAGTTGAGCTAATTGTGAAAGAGGCATATTAATGTCCCCATTACAGTTGTATTAGCATTTTGTGTGATTTTTCATGTTCATTAATATTTGTTTTCTATAGTTGAGTGCACTGGTATTTAGAGCATATATATTTATGATTATCTTTTTCTCTAGGATTGTTCCCTTTACAAGTATGTAGTGATCATCTTTGTCTCTCTTAATGAGTCTTGGCTTGAAATCCACTTTGTCTGCTTTTTCCAGCTTCCTGTTGCATGAATTATTATGTTCTGTCCTTTGAATTTCAGTCTATGCATTTTTTTGAGGTGAATGTGTTTGTTCTATGCAGCATGTTGTTGAATTTTGCTTCTTGATCCATTGTGCTCGTATGTATTTTTTGGCTGGAGAATCAAGACCATTAACATTAATAGTTATAACTGATATGTTTATTTATTTATTTTGCAGGTAGTAAAATAGAACAAGGCAGAACAAAGCAAATCAAGACAATGCAGTGAAATTGGTACAGAACATCACAGCAGGATACCAGGATAACAGAAGTAGGTACCATAGTATATCTTGTTATCTTCAAATAGTTGTCCATTCAATCAGGTATAGGAAAATCAAACCCAAAACAGAACATTATAAAACCAATCAGAACAGAATACTGAATAGAGCAAAACAATCAGAACAAAGCAAAAACAGTGAAAACAACATTTGCCTTCAAGGAGAAGATAGAAGGAAATCCCCCATATTTATTATATTGCGTATGTTTATCCTCCTAAGAGATGCTCAAACCTCTGGCCCCCATATGCTAATGGTGGGGGAGGTGAATGGGATGTTTAATTCTCAGTCTGCTCAGGGAGGCTTCTGGGAGACCTGACGAGGTTCTCTTCCTGGTTCACCCACTGCTTACTCCTGCCTTGGCCGCTTACCAGGAAGTGGAACATGTTGCTTTCTTGCTCAGTGCCCCAAGTTCCAATATTGATATGTGTTGATATATCCTTGCCATGTTATTTTCTGGTTGTTGGCTCCCTTTTTCCTTGTTGGTTTGCCTTGCCTGGTGGATTCATTCTGTTGGGGTTCACAGAGTTGTAATTTTTGTTATCTCTTTCTAGAGCTGACCTTTAGAGCATTTTGAAGTGCTGTTTCAGTGTTCATGAATTTTGTCAGGTGCTGTTTGTTATGTGTTGGGAGCCGCGGCCGAGCCCGGTCGCCTTACTTGGCGGACGTGAGGCCTGTAAGAAAGAGCAAAGCCTGAGCTAGATTACCCCTCCCATCGAGTGAGCCAAGTTGGCGCCTGCTTCCTGCCCCCTGATTGCCCTGGCGACTTAAACAACCCGCTCTGTAAGATAGTCTGCCTAACAACAACTGATGTTAGCCAATCAGCCCGCATCGCGCGCTTTGAACTGATTGGCCACTGTTACCCTATAAAAGTGAGTGCCTCTCCCGCCACGAGAGAGAAGCACAGAAGAGATAGAGGAAGTCCACCGGTAAGAAAGGACTGGTGGCAGAGCAGAGGCCTCGCGCGGCCCACGCGGAGACAAATAAAGACAAGGTTGCACACCGTCAGAATTTGTCGTGTGTTCTTCCTGCCGGCCGGGAGCGACACCGACAGTTATGGAAGTATCTTATTTCTACATCAGTTTTGAAAGACAGTTTTGCTGGTATATCAATCTGGCTTAGAGGTTGTTTTCTTTTAGGGCTTGAAATATTTCATTCTGGGGTTGGGGGGTTTAGCTCAGCAGCATAAGCGCCTGCCTGGCAAGCAGGCAGTCGTGAGTTCGATCCCTGGTACCGATAAAAAAGGAAAAAGACAAAAAAAAAAAAAAGAAATATTTCATTCTATGCTTTCCTTGAGTGTGCTGTGATTCTGATGGGTTTTCCTTTATAGGTGATTTGTTTCTTTCTTCTGTCAGCTTTCAACATTCTATTTTTCTGTTGAATTTACAAATGGAATTATCTTACACCAGTTTTCTTGCTCTTTTTTGTGTGTATGGTGCTGGTACTGGGTATGGGACCCAGGTGCTTTCAGATTGAATTACATCCTCAACTTCTTTTTATTTTTCATTTTGAGACAGAGTCTTACCAAGTTGCTAAGTTTGTCTCAGCTGGGCTTAAATTTTCAGTACTCCTGCTTTAGCCTCCTCCAAATGCTGGGATTACAGGTGTATGCCACCATAGCTAGCTTCTTACTTTAGATATGATATTACTATATTTCAGTAAAATTTACAAGATAAAAAATGCTTATTGTTCTTTCATGACAAAATCTTTTAATCTCTACTGAGTGGCTGTTGGGTCAAATGTATTGTGATTTGATATGTCAGTGGTTCCAGCAAATAAAATGCTGACTTAATCTTTGAAATTTCCATATAGTATTACTTAGGTTTTCCTGGATCCCCTTACCACACTTTATATATGTATGTATGTATTTATTTTTGGTACCAGGGATTGAACTCATGACCTTGCACTTGTCAGGCAGGTGCTTAGGTTGCTGAGCTAAATTCCTGGCCAACCACACTCTATTTTGGTAATATCTACACATATGCATATTCTTTGTCTTACTGGACTATATAATAGGGACATAGAATAAGAAATATTCTATTTTATCATTGAAAGCCTTCACAAATTTTACACAGAACCCTGACGTTACTAAATTTCTGATGTTTGAACTAGCAAATCTATTTTTTTTTTTTTTGGTATTGGAAATTGAACTCAGGACCTTGTGCTTGCCAGGTAGGCATTATGCTGTTGAGGTATATCCTTGGCTCTACCAAATCTGTTTCTGGGAACAAGGCTAGTTAAACCAGGCAGGTGGCACATGCCAGTAATGCTACCACGCTAGAGGGCTGAGGCAAGGAAATCACAAGTTTGAGCCCAGTCTAGTAAATGTAGCAAAGTAGGGAAAACTTGTGTCTAAATAAATAAATGGGGCTTGGGATCTAGCCCAGTGTGAGGCCTTTGGTTCAGTCTCCTGTATTATAAATAAATAAATTAATTAATTAATTAAAAAAATACATTTTTAAAAAGCAGAGATGAGTAGGGAAAACTGCACATTTTCTAAAAGATATGTATACTATATAAGAGAAATTCTTTAAAGCATGAATTATGAAAAAGATTTACAGAAGAAAACCTGTCCAAGGCATGGTGGCATATGCTGGTAATCCTAGCACTCTGAAAGGCTGGGGCAGGAGGACTGAACGTTTCAGAGGGCAATTTCACTAGTTGATGGAATGCTGTCTCAAAATAGAGGGTTTAAAAAGAAGGGTGAGAAAGTCTGGGGCCACAATATAGTGCAAAGGCCCTCGGTTCAATCCACAGTACTGAAAAATAAAAATATTTTAAAAAAGAAAACTGTAACACTGGCCATGTTGTACTACATAAATTATATTATACAAGATGAAACAGTGGTACTAAACTAAAAGAGAATAGTTTCCCCTCATTGGAAGCACGGGCACAGAAGTCCTGTATGGATTACTATATGCCATAAACCTAAAAAATACAGGAAATTTTAGATCCTGAAAAACAATTTAAAAAGAAGAATCACTAATACCTTAGACAAAGTTTTGACATGTGTAATGTCTTTCTGGTTCCTCCTGTGACTCCTCTTTTGCAGAAAAATAAGAGTTGAGGAAGGAAATGGGAGTCCTGAAATGCCAGACCTTTGTTGCAACTCTGTCACAGACCAAGCCAGGTGGTCTGTTCCACATCCAAGCCTTTGGCATGGAGATCAAGCATTCCATCCCAGTTTGGTTAACTTGAACAATTTACTGAGACCCTGTCTCTGAAATAAATAAGAGGCAAGGGATATACATCAGTGCAAATGAGATAGGATTTAGGACATGGTAAAGCTGGTTGGGGAAATAAGCAAGACCTGGTAATTCCAAGATTCTAGAACAGCACCTAATAATTCCAAGGACTCCCTATCTAATACTTTTTAAAGGACACAGATGCCACAAGGACCCTGTTATCAAGACCCTTCACGGCAGCCCACCCTGAATCTCTCAGTCACAGGTTGTGATGACTTGTGTCTAGATGTCACGCCAAAGCTTCATGAAGTCATATGGGGGGTTTGTTGGAGATGGCTGGATTTAGGGTGATCAAAAATGTGATGCTGTGATTGATTCACGATGTGATGCTAGGATTAAGCGTGTGACTGCTACCACCCACAGTGTGGGCAGCCTGGATGTAATATAAAGGACAGAAAGAGGTTTATCACTTGTCACCTTATGCTTGCCATGTACTATTTTTCCTCAGTGATGTCTTTCTGCCTTACCACCCTGCTTTGGAACCGGCTGATTAGAGCTGAAGCCTCTACAAACTATGAGCCAAAATAAAACATTCTTCCTTTGAGTGTTGGTATTTTGTCGTGCTTACAAGAAAAGTAAAGGTGTACTTTCTTTTTGCTTTTCTCTACCTTCTTTTGCTTAGACCAACTTTTCTCTCCAGGGCCAATTTCTCCCTTATTCCTTCATCCTTCACTTTTTAAATAAACTTCTGTCACTGTTTGTGGCTTCTCTCATGCAATTCTTTGTTGGAAATGAGAAGCACCTGGAATATGATTAATTGAAGAGCCAATTTTAAAGGAACTGCCTGGTAACAAAAAGGTGCTAGGTTCAGTCCCCAGCAGAGGGGTGAGAAAGAACCAGAAACAAGTTAGCATCTCATTGCTGAAAACCAGCCTGCTAGAAGTGCCTAACTGGAGTGATAGAGGTTAAAGGCAAGACAGATAATTTTTTTCTTCCCTCTCATAGACAAAGAATCCTGAACATCAGGCTCACCTCACTTTTATTCAACTTAGGCAAGGGAGCAAGCAATTATGTTAATAGAAAATTTATGTTTCTCATTATTTGCAAAGTGTACCCAAGTGTAAACAAGATCTCAGTTGTTGTTGACTTCTTCCCTGAAACTTGCAATACCAGCATGTCAGCATGTTACCAGAGGGAAAACAGCTTCCGTCCTTCCTGTCCACAGTGAAGGTCAACTGGACCTCAATCTTCATGACTAGCTTCCCACACCTTAGGAAAGGAAGATGTCAAGGCCCCTACTTTATAGAGCTAATGTCTTCCCCAAGTTCCTAGTACTACAGAACACTGATGTGGAGGTATTCAAGTGTATTTGACTCATGTAATTGGACCCAGAGGAAAATCTTGGTAGAGGAAATGGGAAGAATTCGTGTTATGTAGGCTTCTTTTCACAGAGCCCACTTTGAATGATAACTGAGGTCTAAATTCGTGGTCTAGTCTGTGAATAATAGCATTAGGTGTGATGGCATGCATATGTAACTCCAGAATTCTGGAAGGTTGATGGAGGAGGATCACAATTTGAAGCACAGCCTGTGGTCACTCGAAGACTTAAGTGAGACTGTGTCTGAATCAATCAACCAATTAATAAAAATTAAACATCAGTCTCAGGTACAAGCTGTCACACTCACACTATTACATTGTTGGAAATTGAGCATTTCACAAATTAACTCGTTTAATGCTCACCAAATCTGTTGAGGAGGTTATCTTTTAAGGGAGTAAGAAAAAAGGAATGGCATGGAGAATGTAAATAATTT